ACATACTCTACCTTGTCTGTGGACATCGTTCATTCCAAAGCGGTGCTGCGGTAGGCTAAATTTACGACAGCGGTAAATGGACAATTCCTTGGTGTTACTTGGTGTTGCTTTAACAGATCACGAGGACATCTTCCTTTATCTATTCACTTTCATAGAGGAGGTGACCTTACCAACGACATTGTGTCATATCGGCTTCACCATTCTCTTAGTTCCTGGTCAGGGCAGTCTATTGCAGATAAATTAGAGCCATTTGTGTGGGCCTTCCCAATGCATTGCTACCCCACCTCTCCCTGGAACCACTCTTAAATTCTGTGAACAAATTATCCTAGCGTGTGCAGATTGAAACGCTGACAGTCGAGCCATCTTTCAGCCTTCCCGACCCCTTTCAAATGTAATCTCTACTGCCGGTGAGCCAGTCAAACTCCATGACTGATGCGCTGTCAGGAGTGGGAACAGCTGCTAGGCCGGAAAGCAGTCCGGCTACATATTCCCGCTTGGACACATCATACATTTTTCCTCATGGCACGTGATGTAGAGCGCGTGCCGGAGTGTCAATGCGGCAACCATCATAAATGCGCCTGTACGGTTTTTGATTGATTTACAAGCCGACCGTGGTCCTAGTTATAGGTTAGAGAGGAAGGAATCTTCGCTTGCCTCTGACATTAAAATAGTACAAATAATGTTTCATTTGTCATCTCACTTGCCATAAAAATCCTTGTGTTCTTGATGGAGAGTGTGGGTGTGTCATTTCTATGCTTTATGGTTTTTAGGAGCGAGTCATTTTAAGAACCGCCGGGTGTTTGTTAGACTTTGAATATATGAGTGATAAAGAAAGAAAAGCTCTCCATGTGAAGTTTGCTGTTGGCATTGTGGGACTGGAAATGTGTAAAACGATTAACATAACATAATACATGAATACTTTCCAACATACTGTATGTTTTATTAACAAAGCTTTGGATGAGTACGTTCAGATCATCTACCCAATCAGTATATTAACCCTATAGGGTTGTTCGGCCCAAATGGACCCGAAGAATTTAAATAATTTTTTTTTTTAAATCACAGCTTCCTCAGAATGGTCCGAAATTTGGTGACTTTGTTGGCTTTTGGTATTTGAACACCCCAAAAAATTGGGGACAGGATGTGAATAG